CATCCGTGATCATGTCGGTGGTAGAAATTCCATCAAGAATTTCCTGTGCTCATGACTTTTACCTCTTCTTTTTATTTCATACTTTATTGTCTTCTTACTATTTTCCTTGGTATTTATTAGTACACATATTTTAAAAAGTGAATTATGATGTCATCTTGATGTCATGTATGACGATCACATCCTATAATATATCAATCCTACCTATTGATTTAAATTGGTTTTATAATTACTCGAAAAAAAATAAAATTGGTTTTATATATTTTCTCATTTTGAAGCTCCAATGTCTTAAAAAAATTATTAGTGTTTCTATTTTAATTATTGTTTTTCGGTATGAATGAGTCCACTTAGTTATAGGGTGGCTTCAAGTTATTTTGCTAATTATTTATTATTATGTGTTAATGGGTTAGTGAGTCTTTCTTTCTTTCTTTCTTTTTTTTTTTCAGAAATTTGATAATTTTATTACGCAATTTCAAGAGTGTGAAAGAAGTTAATCTGGAAGTCAATGATCTGGAATAAATACTTTATTAATTCATGCTTTAGCGATCGAGTTTCTTAAAAACTCAATCTGGAAGTCAATGACTCGAGAAACCTTCTATAACTATTTCTTATTTAGATGAATAAAGTTACCCGAACATGGGCATTTGACAGGGTTGGGTGACAAGTGCTGTTTGTCAGCAATTGTGTGGTTTTTTTTTTTTTTTAAATCGTCCAGTGAATTTTCGACTTGTGTCCCCCTATTTTTAAATCCTATCATACTTTGTTTGTGTTGCAAAATTGTATTTAAATAGACTCATATCGCTTTATAGATTAGAGTTATGTATAAGTCATCAAATAATAATTTACAGGAAAAAATTGGTATACACCGGACTTTGTGACCAGATTCCGGAAAAAGCCGTGGATCAAAAAGTTACTTAAAATTACACATAATTAAAAAAATTATACTTGATATTTAGTACTTGTTTGGTTGTAATTAAAATCATATTTTTTCATAAATTTTGATAAAAGTTGATGAAATGTGTGATTAAAAGGATAGAATGCTATGAAATATGAGGTTAAAATTAATTATTGATTTTGATCTAAATTTTAATTTCCAACAAATAGGAAGAAGCAAATTTCTAGGATGAGGAAATTACTTAAAACCAGTTGTTTAGTTTGAACTTTCTAAAAATTAGGTTTTAATTTCACAATTATATTTGACAGGGTTGGGTGACAAGTGTTGTTTGTCAGCAATTGTGTGGTTTTTTTTTTAAATCGTCTAGTGAATTTTTGACATGTGTCCCCCTATTTTTAAATCCTATCATACTTTGTTTGTGTTGCAAAATTGTATTTAAATAGACTCATATCGCTTTATAGATTAGAGTTATATATAAGTCATCAAATAATAATTTACAGGAAAAAATTGGTATACACCCGACTTTGTGACCAGATTCCGGAAAAAGCCGTGGATCAAAAAGTTACTTAAAATTACACAAAATAAAAAAAATTATACTTGATATTTAGTACTTGTTTGGTTGTAATTAAAATCATATTTTTTCATAAATTTTGATAAAAGTTGATGACATGTGTGATTAAAAGGATAGAATGCTATGAAATATAAGGTTAAAATTAATTATTGATTTTGATCTAAATTTTAATTTCCAACAAATAGGAAGAAGCAAATTTCTAGGATGAGGAAATTACTTAAAACCAGTTGTTTAGTTTGAACTTTCTAAAAATCAGGTTTTAATTTCACAATTAATATTGATAATGATATTTTACATTAAATTAATTTATATACCCACACATACCCCTCCCCCCATCCCTTAAATTAATCTATATACCCACACCTCCCCGCCCACCACCAAATTTCACACAAATCCCAAACCCTACTCTCTCTCTCCTCTCCTCCCTTCCCTCCCATCTCCACCCTAAGTCCAAGGCACGTTTTAATAAAGTATTGGAAAAAGGTTCCATTCTCCCCCCTTTCGTTCTTTAATATAGCTTTGTTCAGTCAAGGGAAAGATGAAAATCCAACAGGATGGAGCTGAGCTCTTCATTTGGAAATCATGCTTGAAATTAGATATACAAGCCTTGTTCTATGAGAATATCATTTGTGGTGGAAGATACTAATTGTTGCTTGCATTTTTGCACATTTGAAGCTTATTGTTCTATCGGCGCGTGAGAAGATGACAAGAGTTGGTCAAATTTAGTTCGCAAAAATTTCAGCAAAGAGACGACGGCATGGTTGTATTTTTGGGTATTTTATGCATTATTATTGCCCTATGGCTTCGGGAAGATAGACAGACATAGAGGTTGGTGTACAGGGTCTTGTCCTCTTTTCTAGTTTTCCAGCTCAAGTAAGGAGTTTTTCTTTTGGTAGAACGTCATCCATGAACCATTGCCCTTATGTTGGGTTAGTCGTCGTTGTTATGGCCAAAGGCTGTGAGAATTTTGCGAATGTTAGTCTTTGTTTTGTAGAATATTTGTCCAAATGTCGTCTTCCGGCCCGTGCAATTTTTGTAAATTTTTTGCCGGCTTGCAGTTGATAGAAGCACAACAAATTTTCGAAAATTTTTGCTTGAAGAAATTATAAGGTTAGGCTAGTCTCTAAATTTTCCAAATTTTTTGCTCTGTTTATTTCATTGTTCTAAAAGGCGCCAAAACGCGCCGTCTAGGCGCGCCGCGGGAGCCAAACGCGTCAAATTGGTGAAATGCGGGTAAAAATGCGTTTTTTTCTGTTCGAAAATGCGCGGCCTAGGCGCGCATATGCGTGCCTAGGCGTGGCATTTTGGTAAAATGCCGCGCTTATGCGAGCATATGCGGGCCTAAGCGGCTTATTTTCGAACATAATTTTTTTTTTTTTGTAAAAAATCTGTTTTTTTATATAAAAATATATTTAATTCCTTAAAGATAATTAAAATAATATTAAAAATACGAAACGCATTATGACGCTTATTATTCGCATTGATGCGCCTAAACTTGTGATTCTTGATTCTCGACCTCGACACATCGCAACGCATTACGCCTTTTAGAACACTGATTTATTTGAACTTGGATTTGTTTCTTTTCCATTTTATGTTTTTGCATACATCATTTATTAATAGATATTTGCTTTCTTTCCTAGGAATTGAAGTTTGTCTTCCCTAATACACAACTAGAGGTGCCGACTTTTTGAGTTTTCTTTTTTTGTTTATGTTTGTGAGTATCAAATTGGAGACCGTGTTTGTGGCGTGGCAGTAAGGTGGTGTTACTACTGGTTGTCGTGGTGTTTGGGTAGTGGTGATGTTGGTCGTGGTGGTTGTCGTGGAGTCGGTGGTAGCGGTCATGGCGGCAGTACAGAAGTGGTGGTGGTGGATCTAGCGATTTTGGTTTACTGTGACTAAAAATTAATCCGTGACCTTAAAATTCGCCCATTTGTGACTAAAAATATAATCCGTGACCAACTATTTTGTTATCTGTGACCTAAAAATTATATAATATGTGACCGTGAAAAAATCTGTAACCAACTAATTTGGAAATCTGTGATCATGTGACCTAAAAATTTTGATTTGTAACCAACTAATTTTGAAATCTGTGACCAACGAATTAATTCGTAATCTACAAAATTTTTGAACCGTGACCGGAGAACAGTCATCAGAGTGGTCGCCGATCACCGGAGTAGTCGCTGGAGCAAAGGTGGAGATGAGTGGGGATGGGTTAATTTTATTAGATTACAGTTAAATATGTAATTTAATATAATAATTGTGAAATATAATTAATTAATTCATGAAAAACTTGATTTTTGAAATTCTAAATTTTGGGGCTTGATTTTTAATTTGGGATAAATAAAATTTGAGTTGTGAATTTTTTCCTTCTAGGATTTCTATACTGTCCATTTTTTACTTTCTTGTCAGAACATGGAGCCCAAATTCTGTCTATGGACCTCCCCGTTGGTGGATCATGGGTTTAGGGTCCAATAATGTACGTAAATGGATGCCCCATTTGATCATAAGAGGAATTTCAATAAGCATTTTTTCCCTATAAAATGTGTCATTTTGGTTTACGAATTATGATATTGATTTATTATTGAATTTCAATTAGAGCCACTTCATATTTGAGGTGTGTCCTTGAATATTTTGTTTTAATGCCCCCCTTTTTAAACAAATTTTAATAAAATTTGATGAAATCTGTAGTTGAAAAGATAGAGTCCCACGAAATATGTGGTTAAAATTTTAAAAATACGTCTCTATTTAGCTCCTATTTTTCAAAATTCATTTTTTCTAAAATTTATTTTCAATGACATTTAATGGGATTGACAACTTTTGTTAACTTTTTACTATACATTTCATCAACTTTTTTTTTTTTTTTTAATCTATTAAAAATTTGATTTTTAACTAAATCATATAGGGGCTATATGTGACCCATTTTGTGAGTTGACTGAGTGTACATCATTTATAAGCATCCTTTTTCTGATTTGCTTCGTATGAACTTTGAGAGATGTTTGTACTAAATAGTTCATTCAAAAGTTACTTTTGAGACTAAAAAATAATTTTTATGTATGTTTAAATAATTTTTAAAAGTATTTTACTTCATTACAAGAACTTTTAGTTGAAACTGGCCCACGAAAACTTCATCAGAAAGTTATTCTAACAAAAGTAGAAGTAGAAGCAACGTCAACAATTGAAGGATGTCAACTAATAAAGTTGAACTCTTTATACATGAAAGTTTCAATTATGCACATTAAAAGAGCAAATACATTAAAAAAAAAAAAAACTAATTTTCAAAGCACCTCTTGATGATTAGAACAAATTGGGGAAAAAAAAGAAAAAAAAACTCTCGGACTTAACGACTAAATTGCTTGTAATTAGAAAATAAAAGACAAATTTGACCTCCTGTCCACAATGGGTAGAATAAAAATTTCTCATCACTCAGGTGGGAAGAGAACTTCACTTGTGTTTTAATGAAACAGTTATACATTTAGGCTGTGTTTGGCAGCGCTTAAAATCTTCTAGAAATCCATTTTTTGACAATTAGTTTCCTTCATGTGGGTCCCAGCTGTGAGACAACTGGTCCAAAACTACGGCTGCAATGGTCAAAAAATGGATGAAAAGCAGCTGAAAATCCGTGGCAGACACCCTCTTAAAAGTATGGTTCTCTATGTCACATTAGCGGTCATAGTTGACCTTAACACTTTTGAGGGCCCTACATGACTAATTATTATGGTGCCCTTAACTTTTGTACATGTTTGATCACTCCTCAGTTACTGGCCTTCTTTTCTACTGCATAATGCATTTTCATGAAGGGATAAAGGAATCATAAATCATTTCATTACAAATTTTACATTTAATTTTGGCCTTTGTAAGGTGCGCATCACAATAATAAATTTGCTTCTACTTTGTAAATCCTTAGATTCTAGAGTGACTAAGAAATTCATTACAAATTAAGGGAGACAAGCTGCACAGAGAGATTCTGAAATTTCCAATATTCGAACCCATTTCTAATTAATGATGCCAAAATCGATTTAGCTTCAAGTTTCAGCCAACATTGTAAGAACAAGAAGTATTTTCACATTATTCAAACTTACAAAAGGAAATAAAAAAGGGATCAAAGTAGATTGTAGACAGCAAGCTTCTTACTTGTATAAATATTGCACCCTAGATGAAAGAGTAATTTAGTATCATAAATGCAAACTTTTCAATTCCCTCGAAATGGTAAGCTCTTAGACGTGGAACTTGATTGAATCCTTACTTCAAACAGGAAGAGTAGGTGTAGAATTTTAATATTTTAAAAAATTTCTTTTCTTCCTTCTTGCCTTTGGTCTTGTTCAGTGGCGACAGCGGTCCTCTTCCTACTTGGGCTCCTTGGGTGGCAGCGGTGATCCGACGGAATTGATGATTTGAACTTAACATCAAAGTCTATCTATCTCTTCCAATCTCTCTTTTAACCCAAGAATGAACTGTGTTTTTAAATGGTTCTGTTTTGGGCCATTTTTTTTCTTTTTTTACGAGTCCCCTCAAAATTTTGAGGCCCTAAACCATTGCCTAGTTGATTTGTCTTGGGCCAAGGTCGCACTTGTCAGTAGTGGGAAGTTTTTATCTACCCTTGTGGAGCAGGAGATCAATTCTGCATATCATGTACAATATATGCTCAATTATTTCTAAACATGAATCAATATCCAGATTTATGACTCCAGAAGAGCTTTCAAAGGCAGTTGATTACTTAAAGAAAGAATTCAAGATGCAAGATTTTGGAAAATAGAATTATGCTAGCTTTCTCACCCTACTCAATAATTTTTCTCGCTCTAAGTGAGGTTATACTGTAATTTGATTTCTTGAATGTTGCTGCTACAACAATTCCTTTTAGAATGCTGGCAGAATTTTGGAATTTTTGAGTAGTTTTGACCTATGTGGTCATCTGAGTGGTGTGAAGGCTCGAGTGTTAATGTGTGTGATTTGGGATCGTCGAGTGAGATTCGCAGCTTAATCTTCATCCTATGTAAAGTTTGTTGCTGATTCCAGTGCCAATGGGCAAATATACAGTTTTGTAGTGCTCTAAACGCAGAGGTAAGAAGTTGTGGCTGAGGTCGTGTGCTCTTCTGTCTTCTTTAATTTCATTTCTCTGTGATTTTATGTTTGTTTTTGATACATGAGAAGCGGATTTGACGTAATTCTCATTTATAATTTTAAGAACTTTACGCAACTTTATATAGGATCTGCACAATTCATAAGATAAGAAAACTAAATTGTAGAAAGCTAATCAAGCATAAATGATAAAACTATGATTTACAAAATCATATGAACCATCAAGTTAAATCATAATGATTGAATCAAATGCAATCAGATCTCTGATTGATTAAATCAAATCAAGTCAATCAGGGGCGTACGCTAAAAATTAAAGTTAGGAAGACACAATCGAACTTGCAAAAAAGTTGGGAGAAATTTTACAATCGAAAATTTATATCCAAAAAAATCATATCCCATATAATTTTTACATGAAATATGACTTTTTCGGATGTAAAATTTCGAAAATTTTTGATATCATATCCATATAAATTTCCTAATAAAATNAAAATTTCGAAAATTTTTGATGTCATATCCCATATAAATTTCCTAATAAAATAATGCAAATTAGATTGAGAAATTTGTATCACAAAAATAATAAATGTTAATGAAATAATTAATTTTTTTTAAAAAATGCGAGTTAGACGCCTCTTTTTAAGACATACGTTTGACGCATCTTTCACTATTTTCGATATTCGTTTGAATTATTCGATATGCCTATAATGTAGTCCTCGAAACGAGCTTTGAGATGATATAAGCGATTTGTAGATTCGACTACCGTACGATCGTCGGAGAATTTTTAAAGTTATCATGTTATCGAAATTCTCGAAATACTAATTTTAAACCGCTTGCTTTGACAAGTAATAACATTTGCTACGATTGGTCGTTTTGCACGCTGTTAACGACATAAAAAACTAGACTGTGAGCACTTCGAAATAGTATTAAGAATGCAATATTTCAATTTTGTTTCACATTTTATAATGAATTCTAAAATTGAAACAAAATATAGAAAATAAAAAAAAAAAAAAATTAAAAAAAGCAATCCCGTTGGTCCGCCAGTGAAGTCAATCACATCTAATTTTCTTCATAGAAACGATTGTTTATTGGTCAAAGATTTGGTAAAGCAAACTGTCGTAGCACTTGAATAGAAGGTATGTTCAATTTACTCTTGGTGAGATGAACGATGCAGAATTAGGAAATGAAGCGTTGAATGCCCGGCTCAAAGACAAACCAAATACTAAGCACAAGTCGTCTAGTGTGCAAAAAATCAGCAACCTCATATCGAATCAGAACCCCTCTTCCTAAATCTCTAACCCTAATTTGAGATGAAACGCTAACGTACACAGATCACTCTCATCCCCAATCCACAAGAATAACACCGTTGCCTTAGATTGTCTCTTTTACATAAGTTGTAGCCTTGGGATAAATGCGACGGCTTAGACCATTCTTGAACTAGTACAATCATTTTCTCGATCTATTTCTCCACTGTATGTTGATTCTCGTCTAGAAAATGGGTTACAATATCGAGCCTTTAATTCTCTCCGAATAATCGAGCTAGCGAAAAACTCTTTTTATGGCTAACCTGATTCTTTCAGTTGTCTTCGACCTTTTAGAATAGAGATCAAAGGATAAGCAATATTACCAGGGGTGGATCCAGGAAATTAATCCAGTGCGGGCGGTATTAGTAAAAGTGAAAATATGATGTAAGTTGCAGTTGATGTTGTAAGTCCAAGAATCTCATTCTCTTATGATCTAAGAGAAGCAGATTTCGTGCCAGTAGATTCCCACAACCCTCAATCAGATTTGGATTTCATTGATTTTGATTTCTCAATTGGTGATCATTTCTCGTTAGAACTTTCATCTGCTGATGAACTCTTTGCTAATGGCAAAATCTTCCCCGTTGAAGTCAAGAAATTCGAGCCCAGCAAAGAAATTTATCGATCGGAGCCAATTGAGCCAAGTCTATCTACAAGGACTCGTAAATTTGTTCAAAATGCAAATGAAGACACGGTTACAAAGAAGAAGACTCTCATAGAATTTTTATCAAACACCTGTGATGCAGAAGAGAAGCCACCCACATAACCATTTTGGCAGTGCAGAAGAAGCTACAGTTTAAATTCTGACAATGGATTGCTTCGATCTTTAAAGTTACTATCGAGAAGAAACTCGACTGGTTCGACTCCGAATCCGAAGCCATCGGCATTGCCGAAAGTTATTCCCAAGCAGAATTCACTGAAAGAGCCATCAACTAAGAAAAAAACCCATCTGCAAATTCTTCACTTTTCAGCCAAAACTATTCCAATATTGCACCAAAAAGACCTCCATTGAACAAGAGTTCAAGCAGATCTTATGCCAATGGAGTTCACGTTAATCTAGTTTTGAACATTCCTCCAACTTACATTGCCAATGGTACTGTAACTTTATTTGGTTTGGGTTCATTGTTCTGCAATGGAAAATCCAAAAAGAAGAAAAGATGATTCTCGATTTGTTCATCTTTTTTGTACAGTTGTCATCGTCATCGAGCTCTGTAAAATGTTGTACCGACTGAATTATTGTCTAAAGGAATCCTATGAGTTAAGTAAAAAACAAAACATGTTAGTATCAGATTGAGATTAATGATAATATGATGGATGTGAGTGAGATCGTAAGAATTTCTCTTCAAGTTATACAAGTAGAATTCTTCAAACTTTGTTCCAGTTTCTGTTCTCCATTCTGTCCATTTTCCTAGTCTTCAAGTGCAGGGGCGGCCCAAAGCCCAGTGCAGGCAGATAAGCTGGGTCCGCCCCTGATTATATTACAATGTTTAAAACAAATTTTGTAGAGATTCTTTTGCAATATCTTTGTCTTTTATCAGCCAAAATATGGTTCAGTAGCGTCCTTCCAAAAAAGAAAGAAGAGAAAGAACTGGGAGTTGGCACCTACACTACAAGAATTTTATTTTTTCCCTACAAAACTTATTTGTAGGGAAAGGTTCTTATTTGTGGGGACAAATCTCTGCAGACGAAATTATTTTGTAGGGATATTTGTGTGGCAAACATCGAAGCGATAGGTAAAATACGACAAATTTTCTAAATTTGTGGGCTAAAGGTTTTTTTTTACGAATCATTTGGAGACGAATACAATTTGTCACTTAAGTTTTTCCCCAACAAAATCATTCAGCTAAAGTTAATCTTGCCCATGAAATTATTTCACTTTTTCCTGTAAATTATGTTGTTAGCCAAATCGTGCTTTTCCCTATAAATAAATTTTGTGGGCTAAGATATACCCATTTTCCCCAACAACTAAAAATTTGTGGCAACATGTTACATATTATTTTGTGGGCTAAACCTTATTTTTCTCTACAAATAATATGAAAAAAAGTATATTTGTAAGTGATCAGTGTAGTTTCTACACTTATTTGAGGTCATAAACGATGATATTTTACTGTTTTTTGGATAAAATACTATAACGATTTTTTTTTTTTTTTTAGAAAAATTGGAAAAACATGCATATGCTTAAAGTGCAATCCTAAATTATATATACAATGCATAACAAAAGAAAATAAAAATTAAAAATTTTAGGTTAAAAAATTGGGTTGTATCCCATTAATTCTTGATTTATAGTCTCAAGCTCGACTTTGGGAAATGATTTTTTTATGGAACTTTGAATGGGTTTGGGGGGTCTTTGTGATAAGTATAGTTTCTACACTTATTTTAGGTTTTAAACGATGATATTTTACTGTTTTTTGGATAAAATACTACCTAACTTATGTTATATTTAATTTTGTAGGTAAAACTCAATGTTTGATGAAAAATTGGAAAAATGAATGCAAAGATAACGGAAAATGGCTCAATTGTATCAAATACAAAGTTCGGGGAAGGAAATGCAAATACTCAAAAGTTACATTGAACCTCACGATGGAGATTTGAAAGTGTTAGACATCAATTGGATGATGAAAGATGCCAAAGGGATGAAATATAGTCCAAATATTATCACATATCAACTTCCAGCCGAAAAAGTTATGCTTCGAGTTTTCAAACTCACATTGAGACCCAATTTTGGCATTGAAAACTTTCAAATTGGAAAAATGTTCTAGAAGAGCTGTAGCTCTCCGAGTTAGCTTTCCAATACATTTTGAATCAGTTCAATCGGATATCGAGAGAGAAGTGTATGATAAAAATACTGAGAACTTTTCAGCTGCCAAAATTTTGCCTAAGGCGCGGGCCCTCGCCTGCAGGCGAGGCGCGCGCCTCACATCAAATTGGCCTCGACTGAGGCCTACCTAAAGGCTAAGGCGCGCTCCTTAGTTTCTACTAGGTGCGGGCCTCAATGCAAAATGGGGACAGAACTGTAATTCTTCTATTTCGTTTTGGTAATGTTTTAGGGCACTTTTTGAGAGATATAAAAGGGAAATTCCGTGGACTTTTAGGGGGGAGCCGTATTTTGAGAACAATATAGAGAAAACTTACATTGAAGGAGGAAAAATTCACCATTTGGATCCGATTTTGAAGGCTTGGAGCAAAGATTTCTATATTTTTTCCTATTTACATTATTCGGTTGATGATGTTCTTTTATTTTCTATGTGATTTTCATGTTAGTATGCTAGGCTAAGTTTATTTGTATTGGATGGATGATGAAACTACTTGATTTCTGGTTTTTAATTTAAGACTTGTGATTTTTAGTTAATTATTGCGTTGTGATTTTATATACATGTTTTTTCATATTGTTTTAATGTTTGCGCACCATTAGAACAATAAGTTGCTTATTCATAGTGTTCGAAAACTCACGATAGGTAGAACACTCTATATGGAACACGTGAAGAATAAATATTAGGAATAATATTGGTGAAATGTGCGATCGTGTGTGGTAATCCTATGTTTTAATGCATGTTTATCATATGAATGTGGATTAGGAATAGGATTGTGTCGTGGTCAACATAGATTTATTATTTTTTGGAAAAGAATAATAAATAAAAGTAGAATTATCGATCGTCATGAATGCAAGGATTGAATTAACAGTTACAACTTGAGAACTGAATTCTAGAGTCAAGTAGTGGATTCGAAAATCCAATACATTCATCCACACTTGATTTTATAAAAAAAACAAAAACCATTTTATTGCTTTCATAGTTTAGAACGTAACTAAATACGAATCAATCATCTTTTTTTATTGTTGCGAATCTAGATCATCGGATACACTAGAATTAAGCCTTGTTTATTGTGGGACGATAACTCACTCATCATAATTATTACTTGTACAACGAACCCGTACGCTTGCGGGATAATTTTGCCAACAAGTTTTTGGCGCCGTTGTCGGGGAATAACGATGTTGGTTTTAGTTACTGATTCGCCTATATTATCATTTTAGTTGTTGGAGGCTATTATCACTTTGCTTCATTCTCTTTTGTCTTGACTTTTTTCGGATGAAGTTGGTGTATGCAAGCTCCTAAAGAGGTTGATCTAGCTCCAACAGATCACAAAATTGAAAGGACGTTTAGAAACTGCAGAAGAGGACAACGTCAAGCAAGGAGAATGGCTGATCATTAGAATCAACAACAAAATCAGGCTCATGTTCAAATTCACAACCAGCTACAGCAACCAAATCAACAGAGAGCCGTCCAAAATGAAGCTCCCATTTTAGTTGGGGACTATGTCAATCCAATTCCTGCTCCAGTGCAACCAGCCATGATTTACCCTCCATTCGGACAACCTAACTTCCACCTCAGACCGGATGTCATAAATCTATTCCAAATTCATCAAGACATCAGGTTTTTCGAGAAATTCACGGAGAACCCATGAACACATCTCAGCATTTCTCATGCTATGTGAAGTTATTAATCACGAAGGGATATCATCTAATGCATTTAGAACGCGATTATTCCCTCAGACGTTGAAAGATGCTGCAAGGGAATGGTTCCTCTATTTTACCTCCAAGGAGTATACAATCGTGGAATGATATGGTTCAGAAATTCACCCTGAGGTTCTTTCCACCTTCTCGAGTTTACCAAATTAGGAATGAAATCTACACCTTCAAGCAGAAAGAACTCGAGAGCTATGCTGAAGCATGGGAACGGTTTAAGAATCTGTTCAGAAAATGCCCTAGGCTAGACATTCCAAAAGAGGCTAAACAGTATCTCTTTTATAACGGGCTACACCAAGAGTTCAGAAATATGATAGATACTTCATCAGGAGGATCAGTGATGAAACTTGACGTCAATGATGCCTATGAATTGTATAAAAGGATAGCCGAGAATCAATCGATGTGGCCAACTGATAGGAGAGAAGTTCCAAGGAAAACATGAGGGGTCCACATTGTAGATGCAATGATAGCATTGGCGGCACAAATGGAGGTTCTTACAAGGAAAATGGATAATCTATTTCAATCAGTCAACACGGTACACCAATCACTACCTGTGTGTGAAGGTTGTAGAGCAGACCACATTACTGCATGTTGCCCTTTGGCATCTACACAAGTTTAGCAACCCGAAAAGATTAGCTACGCACAGAACTTCCAAAGGCAACAGAACAATCCCTACGCCAACACTTTTAATCCAGGTTGGAGAAGCCATCCAAAATTTTCATGGTCCAACAATCAGGGGCAAGGAGAAATCAATCGGAACAAGCTACCAGGGTTCCTACATCATCAACAGCAAGAGAGAAAGCCATCATTGGAAGATTTCCTATCTCAATACATCACAAAGACTGAGACAGTGATGCAGAATCAATAGGCATCGATCAAAAACTAGGAACAACAGGTGGGACAGATAGCAGCTGCAATAGCAACAGACACAAGGTACCTTGTCGAGCGACACAAATAAGAACTCACGAGAGCAGGTATTAGCGATTGAGGGGGTGAATTATGCAACTATTGAGCTCCCATCATTCACTCCCATCACCCCTGTCAAGGCTTATGTGCCACCCATTCCATTCCCTCAAAGACTTCGACAGCAGCCAACAATGGAGCAGGTTCAGGCCATCACTACTAGGAGTGGTGTTCAGTTTCCAGAAATCATTTTAAAGAGGAAGGAGACAAGACCACTCAAATATCCACTAAGGGCAATGAACAGGTGGAGCAGTCCGAAGAAGCAACAGAGAAAGATCAAC